TATATATATATATATATATATATATGTATATATAAATTAAAAGGATGGGAATTAAACAGTTTGAACATTTGTAATGTTATCTAAATATTTTTGTAAAGTAAATTTATGCAATTTCTGCAAACCATTCTGATTTTGTGCGATCGCACGCAGCGTCATCTACTTCAACGTGCATGTTGGGATAAAGCAAAAAGTAGAACAGACAGAATGAGACGAATGTTATCAGAAAGAGTAACTGAAATTATTGTTTATAAATATGATATTATTATACTCACGATGTTATTAACAATTATGGCAAAAATTTTGATAATATGGCTTAAACATTAACCAGCTTTTAAATACAAGCAAACAGTCAGTAAGGTAACTAATTATTTATCCGTTGCGATTTTTTTGAATAAATTTTTTAAATGAAGCGTATTTTAAGTCTCACTATCAAGTAAGATGTTAAATTATTCAAAAAATTATGAATGATTTTGTTGCTATGAATCATTTTTCACGGTGAGCTGCGTTAATATACTTTGGAAAAAGTGCAATGATAAGTTGCATTACTCTCACAACTACTTTTTCAAACTTTCCATCATTGCAAGAAGTGAAACTTATTAGTTTGAATGATATGCTTTGCAGAAAAACTTATTGAAACCAAAAAGTAAGCAGCAATGACTGAGAGATTGTTTTCAGTGAAAGGAGAATGATATGAACCTGTGAGATCCAGTGGAATTTGTAGACGGACCTTTTTGAAAATCGACACTTATTCAAGAAATTCTTAAAATTAGACCATCGTGAATATTGTTGCTTTTGTAGATAATTATCCACTTCGCTTGGGTCATTTATTGGGATGGAAGTGTAAGAATTTGAGATACGGTTTGACCTTAAAATGCATTATGTTCTATGCCCCAAATTTATGCTTTTTAAAATATTCCTGCAAATAAGTATGTGGCATTGACTATTAATAATATATTATGTTTGCTACTTGAAATTAAATAATTTATAAATCATCATATAAGCATCTCTATTGCTAGTCTTATCAAAAAAATATACTGAAGAAAGTGGACGAATCGAAGAATAAGAGATGAAATAATTCCAAAATAAATATTGTATTTTTTTGATTCAATTTTTTAATAATGAATTAATTGACTGTAAATAACAATTACAAAATCCATATAAACTGATTTCAAAAAACTTCAGAATGGTAAAAGAAATAATATGCAGTTCTTCCATCATCAAAATATGACATGATAAATTAAATTCTTTATTATATTTACAAAAAAAAGAATATTCAAAGATTTAGGTTTACTAATTTTTGAATGCAAAACTGATAACCCTTCTTGCCATGGTGATACTTCAAAGTTGAACGAAGAAGTTCTCTGTAGACCAATTATAGCAGATTCTGTAAATACGCCATTTGCGGATAAATTAACATTTGGGGGCACTGAAGTAAGAAGCAATGATGGTCTTCTGCTGAAATTTATAAAAATTTATTGTTTTTTTCTTTTGAAATATGTGAAGAACAAATTATTTTAAAAAGAATTATTATTTGGAGCATAAGTTATTACACGTAAATAATTCCTCAAATTTTTAAATGATTCATTATTTTGCTTCATGCTTTTAATTTGATCTCTTAAATACGATAAAACTGTAAACAGTTTCAAGTATGATATGAGAATAGCTAAAATTTCACGCCGATTGCAATAATAATATTATTATGCATGCAACAATGATATTATAATGCTGTAATGCAATCAAATTCTGGATATTACTACAATAAATAACCGTAGAAACCTGCTTCTATTGAGTTTTTGCATCATGAATTTTACAAACGCCAATTTGATCAATGATAGAAATACAAACATAAAGCATACACCTAAATTAAAAAACGCATATTTTATTTCAGTTTAAAAAAAGTTGAAGATTTGGTTTTTTTTTTCTAAAAATGAGAATATTAACTGTTATACAACTTTCTGTGCTTAATATTCAAATTTAAAATTGTAACTAAATGAGTTTAAAGTCTTACCAAGATAGATGTCCATAGCTTTGATGTAGCTTACACGTGGCATCATCTCATTGTACGAAAATATCAGAAATGTGATTGCTAATATAATTGAAATCATATCCTATAATTTACTATTAAAAATTTGCATTAAAAAATTTTCACTGAATAAAATAATTCGCTTATAGCAATCTTTTTTTTCTTTTTTGAAATTTAAAGATTTAAATCTTCTTTCTGAGAAAAAGAAGCAACAAAGTTTCATTGAAGACATAAAAATCTTACTTTATTTACAAAGTGAGACAAAAATTTAAATAGTTTTATTGAGAAAAAACCTGAAATTCGGTATCACTTTCCATCCATAGCGAAACCCAAGAAGTTATGACAACTGCTGTAGATGGAACAACAAGTTGCATAAGGCAAAATCCAGAAGAACGAATAAATAAAAAACATACATAAAGTCTACTGTAATTACCTGAAGCAATGCTATTAAGGAGTAGAAATTTTATTAAAATTTTCATAAAAAATGTTTCTATGCTTTATTTCATAGAAAATAATTAAGAATGAATTTTGTGTAAAAACAATTAAATACTTGAAATTAAAGCAAAAGTTTGTTTGCATCAATTTTGGCTATTTCAAATAAAATAATAGTAATTATTTTATTAATGAATGAATTTTTTCTGAAAAACTAATTATTAATTTATGTATTATTTGTAAATTTTAGCCATTTTGATAAAATGGTATGGAAATATTGTGATTAGTGTGGCATAAAAACAAAACTGAATCATTATTAGACAAAAATCATTTTCGTTAAAGATTAATGATGGTCAAAAGATGAAATTATTTGCATGTGAGATAAACAGAAATGATTTAACGAAGCAGAAAGCATGTGAGAAAGAAGGAATGTAAGAATATAGGAAAATGATTGATAGTGTAAAAAAATAAGTTTTAGATTGATATTTAACCTGTAGCATAATTTTCTGTAACACTAGTGACATAGGCTTCTTTGATCTGAAAATCAGGTAAACGAATTTTCTGCAATAACAACGGTGCTTTGACATCTTTTGACCAAGAATATCTTACACGATCCGCGGTATAACCATCTACAGTATCGTATCACATTGTTATTTACAAAATCTAATACAAAAAAAAGTCGTAATAATAAATTATTAATTAAACTTTAGATTAATCATACTGTAAACATTATCGAAGTATTAAAAATTACTGTATTATTAATTATTGCTTGTTTAATTTTTTCGCAAGCATTAAATGATGCAAATTTATCACAAACTGTTACAATCAAATGCTGAATTTCATTTTTTGTAGCAAATGTATGCATTAAAAAATAAAGAATATTCATTTTAGAATATTAATAATATATGTATATCACTTGTTTAAAACGTTTTACAAAATAATATGATAATTATAACTGTTAATATTGTTTGTTACAGTTTACTGATCACTTACTATCATTATCATCTATCATTACTTACAATTATTATTATTATTATCATTATCACTAACCATCATTATGCTCAAACTTCAATTTTTTGCAAGCAAAACAAAATTCAAGCAGTATTTGCAAAGAAATAAAAAACATACAACTTTCGATGCCAAGTTTGCATAATTGTGAATCAAAAGGGAAAAGTGTAAGATCCATTGGACATTCAGCGAGTATGGAAATGCGTCTACTGTATAGAATGGTGCCATCTTCATTTAACCTAATAATATCACAGTCTAATTGTCATTACTTCATTATTCATAATTAACTAAGCACTGAATATCAGAAAGCAAAAATCTGAAAAATAAAACGTGCAATTCTTGCTTAAGATATAGGAGAGCTAAACTAATGCAAAAGAAATGTTAATTGCTTCCATAAAAGTATTATATAATAACCGAATATTTAGTCGTAATATTTTTTTTACCAATAACTATAGTATTTATAATGAATTATGAATTACATTCACAAATTCACAATTAATTTCAAAGTTACATTCTTGCATGATTTTCCAAAAATTATTTTCTATTTTATTCAATAAATTAAAATCTTAACCTAAGTAAAGAACGATGTGATATAGAATGCTTTTGAGGATTTTTGGAAGCGATTGCATTTGGCATAAATGTATCTGGATGCCATAGAAAATTAATGTAACTTTCATGTAATGTAATCTTTCGTTTTCCGTAACCATCACGTTGATGCAATCGTTGATCCAACCATGACTCACGGTAAAATAATTCTAATGCATAATCCTGCACAAATTTATTTGTATAAATTAAAATTGGTGACATATCAAATTATTTACCTTAAAGCAAATCTAAATAATATTACAAACTATGATTTGATATTTTTGTAGTCCTTGCATTATTTATCAAATTCATTATATTCTTTCTTGAAACAATTATAGATAACATCAATTTTGAGCGAAAAATAAATAAAAAATTGAAATTACTTTTGCTACTTGATTATATCAACAATCATATTAATTTTCATTTTTTTAATCACAATGAAAAAAACTTAAATATAATGGAAAATAACAAATAACTGAAGAAATTCACCATTGTAACTTCGGAAACCGCTCGAATATTACTAACAACAATTGAGACACTGATTGTAACAACTACAAATATCAAAGTCAAATATTAAAATCGAAAGTATTTATCAAATAAAATGTTTTAAAAAAATTTAATAGCAAAATGAATAATTAAAATTGTAAAATGTAAAATATTTATCGGAAGATTACACTAAGTCAAAATTCAATTAAATTTATTTTAATTAAATTTAATTTTCAAAATTTGTAATATGAATAAAATATAGTAAACCTCCATTGTCGTTTTCTGGTTCTTTACGATGATCATAATTAGTACGAACTAGAAAATGAAGAAAATCGCGAGTTTCACTGTAACTTATTCAAATTATTACAATTTCATTTTGTTAAGAAAATAAGAAAAAAAATATTTTCTGCATCAAATTTTTTTTTTAACTTTGAAGTTAAAATTAATTTTTCGAAAATTGCTTAAATTTTTAATAAAATAATGATTAATAAAACTGATTTTAATGGTATTTCATGCAAACAAATTAATTACAGTTTAGAATGCAATGATAACAATGTCTACAACACAAACTTAAAGTATTACAAAATTAAACTCACAAAATATAAATATGATAGTAGAAAATAATGAAAGGGATTGATTAAATACATTATCATGCAAGAACACTTAACGTGATCATGAAGTATTTTCATGATTTCACGTTAAAATGTTAGTTATAATATGTTTGCATGCACTACACAAAAATTCATCAAATCTTTCAAAAAAGTTTGAAAATTATTAGAAAAAGTTGTAGCAAAAATTGCATATTATTAACTGAATTTCCTAAAAATACATTCTTTTCATTTATTAAAAAAAAAATTTTTCTTTTTCATATCACTAATGAACAATAATTAATTAACAAAACACTGCGATAATTGTTCATATATCCTCCTTATCATGCATTGCTGAGAGCACTACGAAGGAAAAATTTGCTTATGAAAAGAATATTTAATATCTTACTGACTAGTAGAAACCATTCTTTGCCTTTATAAAGAAGCGAAAAAAAATTAATCATGTTGTTATTAATATTATTAGTAATTTACAAATAAATATAAAAATAGAAGCAAAATTAAAGAGTTAAAATTGTTAAAATAAATGAAAGAATGAGAAATTTGATGAGAGTTATAATACAAAATTAAGTATTGCACCAAAATAAAAAAATTATTTGATTACTAATTTGCAGAATTTAAATTTAGAATACAAAAATGAAAAACTAAATTCGCACTTTCCATTATTATTTTCATTATAGTAAGCGGGCCATTGATCATTAGAATCACTGTTAACAAAAATATCATATTCAGAAAAAGTTGATCGTATCTTTGGTGTGACATCTGCTGACTTTATTATATTGGAAGCTTGAAAGCCAGCTGATGTTATCTGAAGAAAAGCAAACCAATCTTATTACAAATCTCTTTTATTTTTCACATTTTTGCTTGCAATAAAAGTGTTTTTTTGTCTTTAAGTCAATAAATCCACAGTCTTTTATTACAAATTATTATTATTATTAATCTATACTTATTATATATACTTATAATTGATTAACCTCTGTGTGATAATACATATTATATATATATATATATATATATATATATATATATATATATAT